TAATTAATTCTCCTTTCATGAAAATTGTATTACTAAAATGCTGCAGGACCTATGAGCTCCACCTCCTACCTTCCATTTATCACATTATGCACCTGACAGAGTTATAGCTTATTTTTAGCTTCCAGACACCTCTTTGCTGGCATTCAATTATGCATGTCTTCCCATGTGCAATCATCTGTTATGGTGACAATGAAGGATGTATAGGTCGTGTTACAGGGATAATGAGATAAAAGGTTATTGTGTATAAAGTGTGCTTAGTCACATATGCAATGGCACAAATGAAAAGTTTCAGTGTCTGCGGTTAAAGGAAGGATGTCAGTCTGATTTTAAGGTTTCCTTGTTGGTGAATCATCTTTGATCCTCAGGTCATTCCCAGCCTTGGCACACACTCGTGACTAATGTTGTGAGTAATGACTGTGAAACCAACTCTGAAAGGGGACAGAAACAAACCCGGCCTGAAGGTATGTCATGTCTGGAGGCTGCTTGGTGAACTTTTCCCATGATGCACAGCTGCAAATGATTGTTTAGCGATGACTACTGACTAAAGAGCTTTCAGGCATTTTTCTCCACTGCAACACAGACAACTGAAAATACTGATTGTATTCAAGTTGTGTTTTTTTTTTTTTGTCTCTTGGTACTTATGCAGCACTCATTTCATTACATCATGCAATCGCTCAAATTTCGATTACAGGTCCCGGGTTTTTGGCTACACTAATCGAGTGTGGGTCTCTATCCTCTCATTGATTTTCCAATTGAGAGCAAGACCCAGGAGCGGCRAGGCACAGACAGCCTCCATTGTTTCCATTTGTGCGGCACGGTGATGATCTCACCGGCAGCTGCATTGCCAGCTTGCGCTCGGCTGCTCTCGCTAGACTTCATCAACTGAGAAGTTGCTGTTAATTACCAGTCCATATTCTGAGTACTCATCACTCGGCGGGGTGGTAAGCCCTCAGAATGGGTACGGGCGTAAAGGAGAGACAAAGAAAGGAGTGTTTTTGCAGATCATTGACTTGAGGTAATGGAAGGCACATTAAGACGAGAATGAAAACAGGGCAGGATGTTTTACCATCTGATGTTAGGCTCTGTGAGGGTACCAGAGCTGCTTTTTGTTGTCCAGGAAATGTGCAATCAAAGGCTGTTTGGCTTGTCAGCTGGCTCCGGATTCTCAGCATTGTTTGCTTTACAGATTTAAGGAAACAGGGTCAAGACAAGCCATGCAGCCCTCCCCCTCCCAAACCTGAGGGTTTAAAACTGCCGTGTAACTTTGTTTTCCTGCCATAAAATGATTGACTTCACCTTGGGATTAATCAGGAATGAGATAAAGGAACATTTTGTGTCAACAGACACTGATATGCTTCCTTAGGTTCGGTGCTTTCCTCCGACAGGAAGGAAAGATTAAAGGACTCCTCACATGACATGAATGAAGAGACGGCGGGGTTATCTCCTTTCAAGATTAAACAGTTTAAATAAACAAAAACACATGGGTGCTGATGAAAACAGAAATACTGTTAAAAGRTGTCAGGGATGATGCATTCTGACAAGAAGACTGAAAATAATGTCAGGAGCCATTCAAGCAAAATTATTCATACACGCAGTGTATATAACGATATAACGTACACATGAGAGGCTCAATAAAGAGGCTTTCAGGTATCGACAGTTGGGCTGTCTCCAAAACAGTCTAAATTATTGATGCTGTGAGCGTGTGCAATCAATGGCAGCTGCCTAACAGAGATTTAGTCTTGCAGTCTGTTATTGGATCATTGCTCTAGTGACTCTTGGTGGCCGTCAACTCTTTCCTCTGACATATTTGATAAAATCATTGCACACAAAGTTAACAAATGCCCTAAACTTCCAGAGGAGCCACTACGYCAGTCTGTAAATGGATCACATCTTTCCCCTCTGAGACAAATGTGCTGCAAAGATGCAGGTATATCTGTGCCAGGGCATGTGCTGCAGGGAAAACAGTGCCTCAAACAGGCAGATAACACACACCAACCTGCTTCTACCTTGAAATTAGATGTTTGAAACCAGATATGAGATGAATACACAACTTRGAGTAGAATAAACACAACCAAAAGGAGCAAAGATAAAGATGGAATGAATGTCTGTTTTAAGGGATTGCTACTCTTTTATGTTTTCCCTCTGTAGCCACAAATCCTCTCAAAGGACATCTGTCCATCTCTGGCCTGATTAATGACCTGCCGTTCAATGCTGAGCCACACTAAAGCAATGTAATTARCCAAGGAAAAATGCACAGACTCCAGCATCTTGTCCCTCCATCTCCCCATGCATCAGAATTGAGCAGCATTCAAATGGATGACAGATCTGGATTAGGTTCAGAAAAGAAGGAACTCGAAGCTCAGGAATCAAAGGCTGCCTGTCATAAATAACGAAACCGTCTGACAGCGATTGCAGTCAGAAAGTGATCATGAGATGTTTTATGGTTTGATTGATGTGGATCTGATGGTGCCCCGACACAACGCATGCACACCACAAGGGTGCCTGAGCTTGTTGCTGCACTACAACAAGCAGGCTTAATGAAAGAGGAATGAGATGGAGAACACTTCCAATGCCACTTGTAATAATTGGAGCTCAGAATATTTGGCAAAAGAGCATCAAATTCCTCTGAAAACATAAATCATTAGCCAACCACCGACTCTTTTGCCACAGTGCCTTGGAAATGAGAACTCAAAGGAGCACGGTTCACTGTTTTCTCTGATTACGGCTGGGAAATCAGCACAGCCACTTAAACACGTGGTCTTTAAAATCCAGATTTAAGTGCCAAGTTGAATCCTATGATCAACGCTGTAGAATGGAAGAACAACTAATCAGTGTAATCATGTGCAGTTTTCACCAACAAAAAAAKTTGAGTAGGTTTGGGCAGCCGTACAAACTCTCCTTTTACTCTTAATCCAATGATTTAGCAAACAACAATGGCCTTCTCTCTCAGAAAGACAAGTAATTCATTCAGCAGAGCATCCAGCTGCTGAAGAACGAGGTAAGGGGCAGACAGGTTCCTTCCTGATCCACTCAGACACACGCTGGGTTCCTCTGCAGGACACCACAGGCTTTGCCAAACCCTCCCACTCACCCAGAACTCCAGACACACCACAACTAAAGCATGGGAGAATGCACATCAATCTGCATACAGTYGCACAGAGATTAAATTAAAACGAARGAGAAACAAGGGCCCCCAGGACAATATTTTCTTTGCARTAATAAAGGAAAAGCTTGCTTATGACCCTCCCCAAGAAAATATTTGACTTTGAGTCAGCTCTATTATTCATCCCTTGAGAAATACACCAAGGCCAACATTTTTGGAAACGAAGCAAAGGCCGAAGATAAAAAAAGAAAAAAAGAAAAAAATAAAAACAGTCTGGGCATTTACACAAGTGGGAAGATTCGGGTTAATAAACCAAAGACCCAAGAATGCTTAAAAGAAGTTAAATGATGGTCGGTGTATGTGTCTTAACCCTATCATGGGATGTAAATCCTTCCCACATGAAGTCCTTTTCGTGGGTGATGATCGCTTTCTGTAGATAAGCCAACTGACTGAAAAAAAAAAGACAGAGACTGAGTCTGTTTATGTGCGTGAGTGAGTGAGTGAGTGAGTGTGTGAAATTTGGCAGGATGCTTGAATTAAATCACAGCATCCCCCAGAGGCAGTCTCAGCTCTTCAGAAAAAAAAAGTTATCAGGTAGGACAAGAAGACAGAGAGAGAGGAAGATGCAGGGAGATAGGTGGATGGTAAATGTTGGAGTTGACTCAGTGGTTTGTGGGAAACGTTGACTCCATTCGAATGGATGGTACTTGTCATTGAAACTGTTGGGGTATATTAAKATTATGCACCTCTGGAGAGAGAAACAATGATACAGAACACTGCTAAGTAACACTGCAAACCCTGTAACTGCATGCTTCAAACTCAAGGTCCACGGGCCCAATATGGCTCTTACTGTAATTTGATCCAATTCATAGTTCAAACAGACAATRGCAGAGCAGTGCAGACATCTTACAATATTTTGATGCAAATAAAATTATGTTTTTAATTTTTTTTTACTTTAAAGTGGAAAGAAAAATGCCATCAAGCTGTCAAACATTTTTCTGTTTACTTTTGTGGTACATTTGTTWATGAGAACTTCAATGTATTTTTATGAGCAATGATCTTCTCACTCRTGTGGAAAGTCCCGCCTACTTACCTATATGCGATCACAATGTCATATGATGTTTTGTGAGCAACAAATATGGATACAGCCAGTAGATAAGAACTGCTCTTCTTTTAAAAAAATCACACATCCCTATTTATTTGTGTCTCAATGGACAGAAATGGTCTGTGCCATGTTTATATTCTTCTGGTTTTAGTTCAGATTTTCTGCTTAAAATTCCRTTARTAAGWCTAAGGCCATCTCAGAKTATGAATTGACCCACTAGGTGGGGAGAACTCACAGTGTTTTTATTTCAGCTTCTACGATATGTTCTCATGTCCAGTTTAATAGTTATATTCAACAGTGAATGGGAAAAGGCAACAAAAACATCCAAATGCGACCAATCAAATTATTGCTGCTGAACTTGCAACCAAGATACTATGTACCATAAAAAGAAAAAGACAACCAATGATGATGTGCCTTTTATATTTGTATATTTTTTTCTTGTTTTATTGGCAAGTGATGTTAAATCTACTTTATAAATACAGTAATGTATTTTGGGAAACAGTAATTCATGTTTTATGAATAATTTAACATGATACAGCTGAAAACCAAAGTCAGTTTATGACTTCTTTCAGTAAATAGTGAYTGAGATTGGCCCTCAGTTAGGACCATGTTTTTAATTTCGGTCCATTTTGTAAATGAGTTTGACACTTCTGCCTCACACAATGAATTACCTCCAAAACTGTRCAGAAGGAGACTTTTCCGAAGACATTTTCCTCCACTGAAATTACATTTCAGGAAGCAATCATCTGTAATGGGGGAATAATTTCCTCTACATGACACGAGGAGTATTACCTGAATCCACTCCTTGTTCGAATCCTCTGCCGGCGTCCACGCGTTTTCGTAGTAGTTGAGTCTAGAGCGCTCCGGGGACCAGCTGGGGTTGTACTGAGAGGAAGCTATGATTTGGTCTGATGTTATCTCGCCTGACTCCATTCCCAAAGGGTCACTGCAGTCAAAGTCTGCAAAAAAAGAGAGAAAGGAGGAGAAATGAGATAGAAAGAAAACCAAAACTTAAAAAAAAGTTGCTGAATTTTATGTGACCACAAAATAGCAAAAATGCACCTTTTGTGTACCCCCCCCCC